CTCTGTCTCATCCACGGAGTTTAGTGTTACTCGAAGTAACCGGGGTTCACCGTAGGGTAACGCGTTTGGGTGACGCGAAGGGCGTTTTAATGTCATGGGATCAGCATGGATACCGATTGCCGTACAGTTGGAACTCGATTGATTTTGGTCGTCTGTCACCTTACCCTTAATTCTATTGAATTTGGATTCGGGGACATTAATGCACACAAGGTTTAAGGCACCATGGTTGTGCCTGGTGTCTACTGGTTTTAGAGCCTTAGCTTCCGGTGCTTTTGGCTCTGACCTGATCGCCGTATAGATTCTATTTGAATCCCGAAAATACTGCTGTATGGCCAGCATTGTTTATGGGGCCAAATGTACGTAAACCGAAGCTACATTCAGGTCAAGACCAAGGAGATCACAAACTAATATTTAAAAGCAATAGTAGTGGATCGCTGAAAATGACGTAACCATATCCATAATTCCGTTGCCTAGGTGTCTCACAAAGGAATGCTGCATCAGGGTGGAAAACGCCGAATTCGTAGGTGTCAAATGCTGACCGAACCTAGTCCGTCGAAATCATGCACATGGTGCTGTAATACATGCGGTCGTGTGTGCTACAGCCCAGTCGGTTTGGTGAGTCATCAATGTATCTGCACAATCCGACAGAACTTTAGGATCTTGTAGCTTATGGGTTAATTCCTCTTGGTGCCTCATTGCCTTTATTCCCGTCTAGTCCTACGTCTCTGGAGTAGTAACACGGTTTTCACGCTTTGGACCGATACCTACTCAAACGAATGTGGTTATTCACTCGCCTCATTTGCATGTACTCTTCATCAGTTTGCTACTAACCTTACTGTTCCCATTACCTGGTTCCACATACTACCCTGACATTACAAATCTAGTCGTGAGTTCTTTCTTTAGAACCATGGTGACAAGATTATATCACCAAATCTTCCACCGATACCGTTTTCTCCCCAGACTGCTTATAGTCTAGGTTTATCATGTGAAGTAGTATTACTTATGTACGTTTCCTTAGATGTAATTATATTTCGCGTATTTCGGTTGTCAACATGGCCACGATGCTACCATAGCCAACAGGCAACGGGTAGGCTAACTGGATCAGCGTCAGCACACGGAAAGTACGCTGCCTCATATGCCATTGACTTACCCAAGCAAATAATGCGACAGATTTGGCACGTGTGCTGCTGCGTCGTCGCTGCGGTTGGTCGTGCATGTACCTATTGGGGTTGTCGCATGTTTGACAGCGTTAGGTGATTCATATCCCCGATCTGATTGCGCTTGAAACACCCGCAATTGTGGTAAAATAAGTGGGAAAACTGCTGTCTTTCTGCATACCGGAACGATTTCTTCCTATCTTTTAACCAAATGGTATATTTTCAAGCATTTTATGAGTATATGCATTCATGCATCGAAACAGTGTCGCCTATCCGAACTCATACTCGAAAAAGTCGTATCTACTGGAAAAGCAGCACGAGCGCAAGATGATTGTTTTTTCCGAATGTTATGAAGAAACTAACACTTTTACGGTACTATTCAGGCTCCACAGCCTGTTAATAAAAACGAAAATCGTAGAACTCTTTGTCTCAGAGAAGAGACTGATGTCTCAACGCCAATTCGCTTTTTGTACTAGCACGGTTACTAAAAATGCGAAGCTGCACACAACGAAACTCACCACTACATCTTATCACACTTGGTGTTCTTATCATTACTCCTGGAGCTGTAGTCGAAGCGTTCATCCTTTATTTTGCCGACTCTTTTGCCACTGTGAACGATACAGACTTAGATCACCCCGCTCAATATTCTGGGCTATTTCTACACGAGTTCTACCAAGCGCCAGATTAACGCCTTAAAATTTACATTTTACCCAGGTCCAGATAGAATACCTCTAGTACGGTGGGGAGGACATCCGTTGTTTACTACTAAATCTGTACTACATCACTTACGTCTGAATTTGATCCACATCACAGAAACTGACGACATTGACACCAAGCCACAAAACCGCGCCGGGACATGACATCAAAAACTATCGGCCTATAAATCACATTGCTTTAATATCCAGAGTTATTGAGCACCTCATTAAAATTAAAATCGTTATGTTCTCGGCACAAACACTTTTTGTCAGATTTATCCAAGTGTTCAAGTGCCGCTTGCTAACCAGATTTCTTTGATCGATAGAGTCTGATAAGGCCTGTGTTGTACTTCACTCAGATTATCAAAAGGCATTCGCTAATGTGTCACACCGAACGCTTATACATATGCTTTTCAGTAATGGTATCGATGACTCATTACTGTCCCCATTACATGTTTACTGTCGTGAAGCAGACAGTCAGGATAAGCGAATACCACGGAGACCAGAGTTATTACTATTGGCATGGTACAACTTATTTTACTCCGCACTATCCTTTTCCTGATTTATGTATATAATGTTTTCCCTGCAACGAGAAAAGGAAGACCTTACCTGTTTGTCAATTTTATAAATCTTTTGTATGCCCCTTAGTCTCAGCAGTTGTCTCGTATTTCTGAAATTCAAATGGTCCTGGTCTCATTGGAAGAATGGTGTGTCGGATTTTCAATAAACTTTTCAATATATAAGTGCAACATCGTGTGCTATGGATGCAGAGTTCCATGAAATTCCACTCCATTGTTGTGACTCGATACCTCCATTCCTGGGATTCATTGAATTCCAGGAAACAAGTTGCTTATACATTGGCTATAGCACGATAGACTGTCTGTTTATAACAAGCGAACTTAAACTACCATTCAAACTATATATACCAGTCCCTTACTGAAGTACGGTGTCACCACTTTTAGTAGCATTAGAAGATGCAACAAGCGTGCGATCGATGATAACATCTGTTACATATTGAATCACTATGGCTTCGATGATCAACGCTGAATCTGTCTTACACAAAATTGTCCACCGACTGCTACATACCAGTTACTATCAGCCGGTATTCTAAGAATCTCCAGCATGTAAACTAAGAGGCAAAAACTTGGAAAAAGCTAACTGATTGCTGCATGCGTTTAGGATGCAACGTCTTAACCCTAAAATATCCCCGCTATGAAATCGATTGCCTCAAAACCTCACCGGCTTGGACATAAAAGATGGAACTAAACGTCTGCTTAACCGGTAAAAACATTAAAGAGCTGTTTTGCGTTAGTCTCACAGGTGAATGTGTGTATGATAAAGGGCCTGAGCACTCGCGAAATTCACCATACAGCAGTACGGTTAAGGATGGGAAGAGAAATTTGTCGATGCAACCTGGGCCTATCCAGTTCTATTATCATGAGTTTTTCATTTCTGTTTGGAAAATTAGCTTTTCCATTCCTACTATCTCACATCCTTTGCTCTTACCAAGGTTCATGACTCACCGATGGCCTCTGAAAATATGGACACACCGACAGATTGGATAAATGAAATTCATCCCTGTGTTTTCTTCTACACTGTCCTTTTCTTCGTGTTAGTCGGTTGGATGTTCCATTGATAATCTATGAAAACATAAGCACATCGCTGAGTCGGACAAAAAAATTTATTTTTGTCTTTTCCCTCTGCAATGCTTCTTGCTCCGCTCCAACTTAGCCGGAACACCTACTGATAACCTAGGATAAACAAGCGCACCTCAGTTGTTTAGATAAATTAACCTTAGTTTCGGCCCTCCTGTAGCGCGTCATCCCCCGTATCCATCTAGTTGAACAACATGAATGCATGCAAGAGCTAGACTGACTGATGCCCCCTCACTTAGCCATTTAACGGGTGAACAATTCCTTTTTCTGTAATTCTTTTTCGCCACCTGTATGATGCACGTCGTTCGTTTTAACTGATTTAGATGGTTCATAATGGCGATAATTCTCAGTCTGGCTGTTCACCGTTGAAGCGTTAGCTTATCTGTTCACACACTTTCTATTTTTAGTATTATTACCATACCAATATTGTAGATGTTCCTTTACCACCCTACTCATTGTAACACTCCGCTTTGATGAACCTGAAGTATTCCCAACCGTCATCCATTCCGTAGTCTTATTGAAACTAAATTAATGGCGGAAGGAGCAATGAAAGAGGAATTACATTTGTTCTTGTACAGCAGTCCTGTAATTTCAGTTTGAATTTTCTCTGCACCTCATGATCGGATCAATTTTACCGGGAGGTTATTGATAATCTGCCAATTAAATGTTTGTAAGGTGCCCACTTATCCAAAACCGCCAGTTCGGTTACTGGCTCCAGAAGAATGTTACTCGTTGCTGAGGGTACAGTCTTCGGGACAATGCCAGGCTCAAATAGTGGTTCCATTCAGTGTGGAACGAGCTACGGCGCAGCCACTGCTCTGTGCACGTCTAGCACGCGTGCATCCTTCAATCTTATATGAGCTTTGTATGCGTTGAAAGGGATTGGACCGCCTCTGATGCATCCGCATATCTCTCTGTCATACTACTTCGAGTTTACACTGAATATGGGATGTGGTGTGTGTATGGAGTTGAGTGGTGTATCGCAACTCAACCATGGTCTTTCAGTAGGCGCAGGCGTCCTATGACTTCCCAGTCCCATTTGCAGGCAACTCTAGGAACGCATACCAACAACCATATGTAGTAATCTTGTATGCTTTTCTGTCTGCATTCAAGGTAAAGTATACCATCTTAACGGCGGGTAAGTATGGAGATAAATTTCGAGATCCCAAAGAATCCTGGAATCACCAACATGTACCGTCCAAGCTTTACTACCTGCACAGCCCCCGCTCTTTAGCCAGCAATCATCGAATTTAGGAGAACTTGTGTCTTCTGAATGATCAACTAGAGTTGAACGGCTGGCACTAGTCTCTTTATCATACCCAGTTAGCCTTTTTAAACTATTGGACCCGATTCACTCACTTCCTTCACCCTCAAATCGGCTCATTGATGCGGATGTATATATGCTACAGATGTGTTATGATGTCAGTTTAGTTTTATAGTCGGATACCTGCATGGCTATGTTCGTACTTTTACCCGTCACATTCCTATTTCAGAGGCTTTGACAGGCAATCCACCCGCAGCCACTTGAACGATGGAGACTTACGACAATCTACCTCAAGCCTTGACAAGACTTCCTTTCCCGACAGACCAAATTTTTACCCTTCAGGCACTCGCTCAAGCAGCACTTCTAGTGTGAATAGTTCGAACTTCGACGTTCGGCCAGCTGCTCGAAGCAGTCCTCCGGAGAGCGCGCCTTATGGAGACCAGCGAGTCAGTAACAGTCCATCGGCGGGCTCTCAAAACTTCGATGAAGTTTCGTTGCTTCATCCGTCTATTTCCGTTCCCAAAGATCCTGCAACATTGGAGTTGGAGAAAACTGAGCGCGAGGAACAGGAACGTCGCAAAGCACTGCAAGTGTAGGTTTCTACCTTACGGACTGTTATCCGCCTTGTAGCGTCATCTAATAGCCATCTTGGGTCCGTCCTCTTGCTCAAACATAACGTACTACTTATTTCTTAAAAGCTTGATAGTGTGCTTACTCTTGAGTAGTTGCACACTTCACTAACATACGTGTGGAAGTATTTGCAACGTCTTTTTGTATGATCATCGTTTTGAATCAAATTAGATGCTGCGCACCCCCTTCATACCGTCTCGATAGCAGAAAATTCTTTTTATCGTTTGAGACGCCGTAGCGTGATAAATTACGTTTATACCGGTGTCCGTTTATAATGGCCCTAACGTCGCCGCAGCTGAAGGCTGATATATATATATATATATATATATATATATATATATATATATATATATATGTCATTGAGTATATCATTGTGTCTGTCTAGCTTACTGCAACGTTTTTGTTTAGCAGTAAACGCATGAATCGGGTTGAAACAATTTGCATATATCCACTATGGTGCAATGCTGATGGCGAGTCACCAGGATGTGCCTGTCTACAATTAACACTGTGCGTCAGAGTGAGGTTGGTAAATTTTGTGATGAACAAGCTTTGTAGATATTCCTTCGCTCTGGAGATCAAGACCCTTTCGATTGCACCTGTGCGAACTACCCCCCTTTCGCTCACAGATTGATGAACGCACTGTGGTTCACCCAGTCCCGCATCACTTTTCGATGATGTTATAATTGAACTATTCGCACCTTAAGGGCTGATAATCTGTTAATACCATCCTCATTTGTGATTGCGTCACGTTCTCTGGATTGTTTGACAGCACAACATTTTTGGGCCGACAACGCAGCGCAAATAAATTTTTCTCTAGATACCTCGCGCTCACTGCTATGTTTATCGAAAGTTCTGTCAACCTTTTTATCCTGCTCCTGATGCTTTTTTCAACAATTACTAATGAAATTTAGTCCTTTATATCTTACCTGAATAATTTCTGTGACCGTGCTCTCCATCCCATCCCACTGGACGACAAACAGTCGAGTTAGCAAATGATTTCTGCCGCGATGTAGATATCGGAATCTATAATCTTGGTGATTAACTTATTTTCCGACATGATGCAGCCGCACAGTCGGTAGCACTCCTACATTTTGTCCCTTGTTTCTCTCTAGTGAATATTCCATTGACTAGTTTTAGCTCTTTTTGTCCTTCTTATGCATCACTGTCGTTCAGCCTTGTTTGTAAAGAGACGCGAGTCATGCCAACGGATTTTACGTCACGTCTGGGATCATTGTCGATCAGTTTTTTTAATTATTTCCTCACTACATCAGCTGAAATTCAACCAACGTTCGATTCCTTAGGGTGTATAAAATCTTTTGTGTCTCTATCGTTTCACCTACTGAAGAGAAGTATCCATTCGACTCAGCTTCGCCTGTTTTGCACACATTCGAGTTAACGAGGTTGTTGTGGGTTATTTTTTCCATTGTTCGTAAAACCTTTGCAAAACTTCGTTACCCCAATGACTCTCTTGATCAGCCCTATTCTGTGAACTTTCAATGCAGTGTCTTGCAACAAGCATAGACCTTACTATAATCTATGTGGTCTTTAATGTTCTACATCTTTCCTACATTTTCGCAGCTACGTGTTCGTTATGCGTTGCATCGCCTATCCATTTTACTCCAAACCTCCGACTGATTTGGTGCGACGGTATCTAAAAATCACGAAGCAGCAACTGAATGCTTTCAAGGAGCGATTCCAGACTTACTTGAATGGGGAGTTGGATGTGATTGGAGATGAGGCGTTTACCAATGCAATTCAAAGTTACTACGAGGTATTTGACTTATTTTCATCTCCATGGCTTTTCATGTTCGAGTTTACGAATGCACTATTCAAAAGCATTAAGTTTCGTAGCCATCATCCTTGATGTTTAGCACTTAACAACTATTGATTATCGACCTCCGGTCGCTTATTTCTGGCTGCGTTGTCAAGATACTTACCTGTGGACTTACCGGCATATTGGAATTATTTTTGGGAAATCTCGGAATCATTCAATTTGATTTTCAAAGCTGCAATCTTTGGATCATATTTTGTGTGGTATCTTTCCAAAGATTTCATAGTTCCGTTTTGCTTTACCATTTTACGTCACTTTTGCATGGTCTTTCCAAAATGCCGAAGAAATCGCTTTGTGGTCCCTGCACGAAAATTGTTGGACACACGGCAAATGCCCTTACGTGCTTTGATTGTTGTGCTGGATTTCTTATTTCGTGTTGGATTACCTACTGATTCTTATCGTCCTTTGTGTTCCACTCCGCGTGATTTCATCCAGATTTTATGCTCCGATTGTCGTAGTCTAAAACAGCCAGCGAAACATATAAAATCTACTGACGCAGATCGCAACCAAAAACTTTTAACTACGAGCTGTTCTAGACATGTTGTCCCGGAAACTTGCCTAGATTCCATTCAAGGTTCCACCCCTCTTTCTTCCCATTCTCATTCCTCTGACTACTCATTACCTCACGACACCAACTGAGGCTAATGATCCGCTGACTTTGTGATCTGCTAACTAAAGTCGCAGATGAATGTCTAATGCCTGAGCCTGGTTACTAGGCTCCTCCTCGATGTGGATGAGCACGAAGTGAACGTGAAGCAAGTCATCCGCCTCGGCAAAAACACTACGGAGAAATACCGACCTATGCGAGTAACGTTTGCCGACGAGGCCAGCTCGAAGCTACTACTGTCTCGGTATAACCGCGCTCAACTCCATCGTGTTTAGACTTAGTGTTAACGAACTGTGACATTCGAATCCTAGGGTCTCTGGCTACAAGCGATTACTAAGTTCTTATTGCCAACATGTAGCTGCTTCTGCAGCAATCCCACGCACTGCAGCTAGATTACGACTACTGGAAGACGGATTTCGACGGCATTCTCGAACTGCGAGCCCAGCGGATTGGTTTCTGCCGCAATCTGCATCTGCTGAAGCTTCCTGGTCAGTTATAAAGAACGAAATAAATTCATTGTGTAGCCCATTTGTACCTATCAAGTATCGGAAGTCGGACCAGTCAAGCCACTTCGGTTCGATAAGGAATATGATAGGCTGATTTGGCAGCAGCACAGGCTATGGAACAAATTCCTTTTCTCTGGATCGGAAAATGACTATGAGCTGTATAGAAAGTAGCCAAATGTCTGCAACGGTATAAAAACGAGCAAGCGCAGGCATTTCAAAAAGCAGCTTGCAACCGCAACAAAAACCGCCCCAAAGAGGATCTTTGCGTGCGTGAAGCGGCACCTGAGGCTGACAAGTAACTTATCAGTGATAGAGGACGCGAACCGACAGCTCCTAACCATCAGCACTGAACATGCGTCCGTCTTGGCGGCGCACTTTGCTTCTGTATTTGCTAATAACCAAGTGTCTGTACCGATTTTGGCGTGCATCACTCTTACCGAACTCGACAGTTTGGATTATGGTGTAGAAGAGATGCGTCAACTACATAATCTTGACGTCACCAGGTCTGCTGGACCGGACGGACTCCATCCCCTAGTCCTCAAGTCCTGATCGGACATCATCTCTTCTGCCGTAACTGACCTGTTCCACAGGTCTCTGTCCATACATTGGTGATTGATTTAAAATGCTGTGTCCTAAAGCCGATTCCGAAAAACGGTGAGCCAAGCAAAGTAGACAACTACAAGCCATTTTGTTTCACACGTATTTTGGTCAAGTTTACAGAGAAGATTGTGAAGAAGCGTTTCCTGGAGCTATTCCGGTCAAAAGCTCTCCTGACGCCCGCACAGAACAGTTTCATATCAGGTCGTTCATTCATCACTAAACTGCTCGTGCCGAGGCATGAATGATTGCAATCAGGGAATCATGGAAGTCTGTCGATCTGATCTACATAGTTTCCAGCAAAGCGTTCGACAAAGTGAACTTCGATGTCCTCCTTCTCAAACTGAGTGTGTGTTGTGGGTGAATCTCCTCACCTGTGGATCCAGGACTTTTTCGTTGGACGAAAGTGGGGGTACAAGTCGATAGACACCTGACCACCTGGTATCCTTCGACCAGTGCGTACCCCAAGGCACGGGGTTGGGGCCTGCATTGTTCCTGATTCATAGCAATGACCTACCTCAGTTTTTTACGTCACGGGGTGCCCTGTTTACAGACAACCTGAAGATGTGGAGAGTGATATGCACTTCCGACGACTGCGGCTTACTTCAACAAGACCTAAACTGCCTTTCCATGTGGTCTGCAGAGGTCCTCCTCCCGGTCAACTCATCCAAGTCGATATTCATGAGCCTGCGGAAAGGTAGTGACGGCTAACCTCACCCTCGACGACCAACTGCTACATCCCACACTTTCCGTGAAGGACCTAGTAGTACTCTCGATGCGACTTGGAATCCGTGGACAACACGAACAGGCTATATCGTAACGGGTTGCACATGCTATGCGCACTCAAACACCGTTTTTGAATCATCAGATCGATGCTAGAGTACGACTCGCTCGCTTATCGCCCGACCACATGCGGCGATGCGCAAAAGATTGAAGGGGTTCAACACGTCGCTGCTAGGTTCATTCCAAGTTTACGAGGCTTACCGTACGAGGACAGGTGCGAGAGACTGGGACCGTACACCCTGGCATATCGTCTGTTACATGTGTTCGACTTCCCCATGCTGAGGCCACTGCTCCACTTGCGAACGCCTTGCAGCACACGCCGACACCAATACAAGTTTGTGCTTCCAGATCTGAAGCGAGTTCCCCATCCCCTGTCCTTGGGACGGCGAGTGATAAATGTCTGAAATGGTTTGCCGGAACACATAGTGGAAGCGAACTCAGCGCAACTATTCAAACGGTCATTGGATGTGCATTTCTCAAATTTTAGATTCCGAGAGCAATTACCTACAGATATCTCACCTTTTTGAATCCTGATCTACTGTGAGTAAAACAATTTTTTAACGATGTAAGGTGAAAAACGATCATCCTATTGACAAGGCATAGTTTGCTTATTTATGTGCCTGATCATATTTCGATGGAATTGTACAGGTTTAAACTTCTATTTGCTTTCACAATACAGTATTCATGATTATTTGTGTTTCTCCGTGTCTTAGCGGCGCCTGCGATTGGTGTCAATTTTTCGGATTATGCTTTTTGTCTATTTGATTGCGCAACAGATGAAACCTGCTGCTACTGCTCCGCTGTGCTTCACTTTTGTCGTTAGCGATTACTTTTATCTTTTCACATATACTTGCATTTCACTATGTGCCGTCTCCCAAATGACAACTTTCACTGATCGGGTTTATTTGACCAACAATAGAATGCATTTTTCAACTAGCCTTACCACAACTAGGCTCCGTTATTCATCTGCTGCTCTTGCGAAAGGGCGAATTCTTACCGTATCGCTATCTTTTGCTCATCGTTAACACCTCTTCCAAATATATAACTCTCCGTCCGAGAGACATCGGCCCGAGTTTCCGGGCGCTCAGTGATGGTGGCATTCACGTGAGTAACATCAAGACCGACTAGGTATTGGCGGTTTCATTACTTCCGACTCTACACATTGCGGTGCTACCATCGATTAACACATGTTACCATGCATGATATTCTTTTGTATTCGATTCTTTTCATCGACAATTGTTCTGTTCCTTCAAAGCGTCATTCCAGACACATCACTTCGTTTTGTTCTCGGTGTTGACTAGTGGATACCTTGTTTAGCCAAGTTCCTGCACTTTGACTAGCCTCTCAAAAGGATGGACCAGTTCTCTATTTTTGGAGGAGTAGTAGTTCTCGCTTCGATTTGTTCGGTATCGTTTTTTCTGTCTTGGCGTATACAACTCACCATATGGGATGAATCCTTATCAGTCGCTCTTGACGGTGATGGGTTCTACAATCTTTATAACGCCACGATGCTTAATTATGATTCCCACAGTAGACAAACTGCAGCCATCCCATCAGCTTGACTGTGTCTGTTATGAAAACGTTTCCCAAATTTACATGAGTTAAATGCTTGCTTGTCTCGCGCATGTTCACTGACGAGCTTTGCATTGGCACTGTCTGGCAACCGTAACGCCCCTTTGGCACCACCCCCACAACCACATCTTGAGTGATTGTGAGTCTGGTTCGGAATAATCAATCCAACTGATGTTGTTCCTTCTACTAAACGGTAAGAGTGGTATGTGTGTGTTGATACACAAGACACTATCGTCTCGCTCCTGTTCCCTGTCACTTTGACATGTAAATCCGGAAAATGATGCAAAGAATCATGTTGTCTCTTGTATCTGATTGTCTGCAGTGAGTCCTTCCCCCCTAAGCACCTTCAAACCAAAACGCGAAGCGCTAATTTTACACATGCAGTTTGTATATTTTCCGGGAATTTGCCTTCCGGAAGCCCATGGAGCGAAGGAATTTAGGGCGCATTGGGTTGTATGGTGAAGCACAATCCTTCTGCGTTTTTTTCACTTAACTAGATGCTCCGATTTTCGTCTTCTCGTTTGCAAACGCATCCGTCATTGACATCGGAGTGCTTACATGCGTTCGGGTAAGCAGATGGCCATCGACTCGCCCTCGCCTACATGTGATACTATCTGAATTTTCTTGATTTTGCTTGATTTGGCCTTGCTTGTTTAACTCATTCCCCGCGTCTACACCGACAGACATTTTATTTGGCCAGCTTCATATGTTTCTTCTCTCCGATCATGTGAGACAGATAAGAATACATTCGTTTTCTAACTCTGTCGCCGCCTTCTCCACAGGCCATAGTACGGATTGTTTGCCGAATTATGAGTCTTACCTAACCCGACTTCTCGAATTTTGCTGTGTTATAGCATTGTGTATTTGGTAAGGTTTATTGTGAAAACGCCGTAGGTGTTTTCCCACTCTCTTTCCGTGGCATCCTTTTACCAAGTTGCTCTACTTCAAGCGTTATTACTTATACATTTCGTTTGAATTTCAATGGAAACCTGGCATTCTGTTACCATTCTTGTTAGTTCACTGCCATATATTTTACCTACCGTTGTGTTTTCTGGGTGCATGCCAATGAGTAACCACCTGGTCCCTGGTGCGATGCCTACGATATCTACGCTGTGAGATCAAGTAAAGTGGAAACCTGTTGTAGAGTACAATATTTTCGAGTGGGTAACACCCAATTTTCATCTGCTCCATCAGTTACGATCCCACTGATGGAATTGATCAAGGTTCAGTTCAATTTGAATCGTGGTGCACATTGAGATTGCGCGTCGCAATCCATCCACACAACGTGTACCTCAGAATGACCCTCTCAATTTATTGACACCCACTTCGAATGGTTTTTTCTGCCTCCCACTCACCAGAGATCCGATGCATTCTCACTTCCTAGGTTTTTTTACGAAGTGACCGTGTCGCCACTATGGTCCGCGGCGGCGGCTGTTCCATGCATGACTTTCGAGAAGTCTTTCGTTTGAATAGCGAACACCGAGTCCGATGCTTGCCGCAGATCGAAGGACTAAACAAGTCCAACGTAGTCAGTGCGTGGATGGTCAAGTTTGATCAGATTTGCCGCGGGGGTGCCGGACCTTCTACGGAGCTGCAGAAATTGCAAGTGCCGCAGCCCGAGTTGGTGATGACCAAGGAGCAACTGTATGATTTGTTCCAAGCCACTCTTGGAGTGAAAAAGTATGAACACCAAATTCTATACAACGCCTTACAGGTAATGCCTTCTTATGTTTTCATTACTGCGCTAGTCATTATTGCACGATTCTTTTTCGCTTGTTCGTTCAATTCAGTCTTTTGCGGCCTTGGAATCGGCCTTTATCTCTTTCGCTGAATATTATTTTTTACATTATCTACTGTAGGCATATCAGTTTTGCAAGAATAAGAGGACAAATATTTTGTTCAAGCAACTTTCAAGGTTAATGAGACAAACCTATTCTATCTACCTTTTGAATATAAACGCTGAGCTATCGCCTTTGGACACAAAATTTTACATCATCTGAAACAAATTATGAAGAAACGTTTTGGCTATAACAATGAAGACTGGTAGCTCAGTTTGTTCAGATGGGAGTTGGACTGTTCGCTGAGTTTAGCAATTTTGTTGCAAACGTTTCAACACCATTCGAGGTGACACCATCATTGAGTAGTTACGTAGCGTGTTGTAGCCTAGAGGAGCCTCGGTGAGACACCTCATCTTTCCCCTCTGAATGGATGCAACTTCCGAAGATTTAGTTCAGCATTATAGAGGGGATCGTGTCTCGATCCAGTCGTGACATCATTGCACCCACTTCATTTTGCTGCCCATTTGTAAACTTAGCTTTCTAATGGTACCCATTTAGTACATTTACAGTTGACAACGTAAAATGCTGAAAGTGCACCCATTTTTGTACATAAAGCTTATGCTGACTTGACTCTTCTAGCAGTTCTGGAAAAGGCACGCGCTTTAGACCGCACAGCGAATGACGACTTCGAATGTTACGGTCTTGTTCCGATGACCATATCAAATTGGACTAATCTCCCTAGGAATGGCATTGAACAGTATCGATGTCTACAGACCTCATGATGACGTACCCCGATTACGTTCACCACTGCCTCGTGGAGCTTAGTCACAATACTAACTTGATAAGCTACCGGTTTAAGTTACTCGCTGTAGTCGGCTGGGAAGTCCTCAGCATCTTTTCTTATTTCGATTCAGTCAATCGTAGAACACTATCTTAAATAACATTTATTATGTCGTTGTTTCAAGGGCGACCTGCTGATCTACTAAGTTCTTTGTGTTACATGACCCATCCCGTGTTAATCAGGAAACAGCATTGCGCACACCAAGACATTTCCAACGAGCTTTCCTTTACAATCGGAGCAGGCGGATTTACATCTCTGCTTGAATGGACGCGCGTTTTATTTTGTTGACATGTTGATTTTTGACCTTTCAGCGCTCACTCTGGTCATCCTTTGGGACTTATAGAACGTTATCTCTTTCACTCGTAGCCGACCGTTGTTCTACTGTCTGATTGCTCTGAACCTCACTGCTTGCATATCCTGCGACTTCTGAATAAAACTTCCTTTTTGTCCTTAATTGGTGCATGTTCAATTTGTATTACCCGTGGGACCATGCTCCGAACAGTGAGAGTATACCACTGGAAAAGAGCAACTGTTGTCCGCGTCTACCTCAACCAGTCGAGCATAGAAATGGCTTATATACGAACGTCAAGGGGTTATGAGATGTAGTACAATCCAGGAACAGCTTCATAGACTGAGGTCGACTCTATTCGGTCGTAGTTGATTTACCACCTGATTTTGACTCGAATTAGGCTGTCCTAAACCCTCGTAAAATTTGCCGTACAATTTTCGAATTAGTGAGGCTCCACGCTTGATTTGCCTTGTATACCGTCTCGTCCATTGTGTCTCTCCGTTCGATTAGCCCGACAGCCTCCTTTTCCCTAAAGTACAGCGCACCATCACAGTGGAAGCTGACTTTTATTGTTATTTTTGGCTGGACATATTGCGTTTTTATCTGGTAGTTGTGACCAACGAAACACCGAACCTGTTTCTGAAGGTCTGCATCATTTTAGTGCACTATTCAAGATCTGCGAGCTCCTTTCACTACAGCTTTATCAGTTGGTTTACACGACTTTCGGTGTTCACCGTTTACTAGCGCCTGTTGTTCAAGGAAATCACTGTGCGGTTACCCCTGATATCGATACATCTGCCTGGAGTTTAGTTCGATTACTTTCGACCACGTGGGCTTTGCGTTTGTTGCCAAGTTTTCTGGTTTGCGAGATGACTCATCAATCGTGGCTTACATACTAGGCTCCCAGAACGGGTTTCGTGGACAAAGTCTTCATTATGCCCTGCATCTATGTGGCTAATATTTTACGTCCAGTTCGCTGGCTGGCAACAATTGAGGCCGACACAAAATGCTGTTTCAGATGCTCCCAGTTCACGCGATCTATTACGTTGTTCGGAAAGTAATTTCCTTTTTTCGTTATATTTTTCTTTTTTCACGGTCAACTTCACACTTAAGCCACATAATTTTGACAGGTGATATAGCAAGGCTTGTTTGTGAAACGTTCGATTGATTCTACCCAATTGCTTTTACTTGGTGCACTTTCCAATACGGGGAGTGAAAAGAAGCATTTTTGGCATATTTTACTTTTTACTATCGAAAAGAACAAATTATCTGATGTTTATGGTGAACGTGTATTGATAGAGCACCAGTGCCAAAACTGGTTTGCAAAATTTCGATCTAGCAATTTTCATGTTGCAGATGCACCACGTTCTGGAAGGCCATTGGGAGCTGATGAAAACACAATCAACGCATTGATTGTTGCAAACCGGCGAATAACAACTAGTGAGATCACCGAGATTAAATTTAGCGAATTCGACCATTCATGATCATTTGAAACGCCTAGGCTTATTCTCAAAACTCGACATATGGGTTCCTCATGTTCTTACAGAAAGAAATTTGTGCCGCCGCGTTGACGTCTCTGACTTGTATTTCAAACGTCCAGAAAACGATCCATTTTTTGAAGCGCATCGTTGCTGGGCACAAGAAATTGGTTGCTTGCAACTATGTTAAATGCAAGAGATTATGGAGTAAGAACGACAAACCGGCTCAAAGCACTTCGAAAGCCGATATTAATCAAAAATTGGTGATGCTATCTGTTTGGTGGGATTTCAAAGGTATCTTTTTTTGCGCTTCTGCCGAACAACGCAACGATCATCTCTGAAATGAACTGTCATCAGCGGGAAAAATTGAATGAATCGCTTAAACAGAAAAAAAGCCAGATTTGATCAATAGCAAAAGTGCAGTGTTCCACCAAGACAATGTGAGGCCTCATGAAGTTTGTTAACTCGCCAAGTTTTGACAGCTTGGATAGGATATACTGCCACACACCGTATTCTCCGGATCTGGCTGCTTCTGATTATTATTTCCTTTTGTCTCTACAAAACGTTTTAGACGGTAAAACCTTTAATTCAGCTGAGGTCATAAATCACCTGGTTCGGTTTTTTTCACCAGCAAAGAACAAAAATTTCATGGGCGTGGGATCATGCTAGTGCCAGAAAGATGACAGAAGTTACCGGGCCAGAATGCACGATATCTAATTCAATAAACTATTTATTCACTATAAGAATATCAACTTTCCTTTTCATTAAAAAATGAAATTACTCTCCGAACAACCATACACCTGAGTGCTAGCCGCTTTCAGTCCAGATATCGCCATTTGCAATTGCCTGTCTCCAGTCGCAACGAGGTTGTGTCCGATCTCAACTTCTGCATCAACAGCCCAACTTTCCAACAGAAACTCTGGGATGGGTTTGTAAGGCGACCACCGAACGACGGTTTGCGCTGGACCCACATCACCACTATTAATAGATAATGTAAGCTGGCGCAGCATAGCCAATCATTCTGGAGTACTCCCTGATTCTAGTAGTGTTATGCGTATCCGCACTCTGTTCACTCTTCCTACTTCGGAACAACACATTGTCAATGGTGCATGTCCATTACCTGTGCTCGCGATCCGCGAGGCATCATTATGTTGAGAGTACTTCAAGCATGCGACATTCTGCACCCATTACGGGTGGAATTTTAGCCGTAACACGCATGCCATCGACCTAATACAAAGTAGTTTAATAGCGGAAAGACAAAAAACATCGACAAACAACCTTACTGGTAATGTTTACTGGGAAATTCTTGCATAATAGCTTTTTCTAAAAGTAAAAATCTGGCTAGACAGGGAATGACTGACGAATCCAATGCTTGCGCGGGCAATTGTCACTGGTGAACCAGGGTGATAAATTGAGTGCGAACTGGACTTGTTCTCAATGCTGTATTCATAAAACATCTGCGATGTCTGAGTGGTCGGTGGATTTCTATAACTGCTTTCTGCGAATGAAGCCTCGAAATGGGTTCCGTTGGAAAGCCCTTTTCACTTTGTCAGTGGCAGTTTGAGAAATCTTCCTATTGGAGATTTCAAAATCGACTTGCAGCATAGGTGGGTGGCAGTGGCACTGTAAGGTGTTGGTGAAGGCACCGCTTGCATTGCTCCCGGAGCTCAATGGCCCAGTGATCATGGCGTTCGCCGCCCAGGGCAATGCACTGAGTTCCACTCCCAGTTCGGCCATCTCTACCTGATGAGTCCAAACCGAGACGAAACCGTCGGTCCTGGAACGCAGTGATGGGAGAGAGCCACACTGAAACCCTCCACAATGGTGAAGACCACTTTTATCGGGAGCAGCTAGGCACTGTTCCAACATAATGAACTCAGTGGTCTAGCAAAAGGGTTGGAGTGGGCAATTAGCTACTGAACTTGAGCAGATGATTCACCATTGAACTCGCAGGTTACAGCGCTTGGTTAAACAATATGAAACACATCTCAGTCGATCTAGCGCATCCCCATTCTTAACCGGGTCACTTAAAAGCAACTGGCTTAATAGCCTTGACTATTGACGAGTTGCGACATTACCTATCACTGATGGAAGGCAGTGACTACCCATTAATGACCGCCCTGCTTGCTTTGTTTGACCACACACTGGCTGCCATCAGCTGTCATTCCTGTCCTTTAAGAAGACCGAAGGACCTCCTGTGGTGCTAGTCTGATCATGTTCCTCTAAACTACTCATATATATTTTCCTGCGGCAGCTCACTGGTCTTCGCAAAATACGAATCAGTGGTAGTCCGGCTGGTCTCCGCTCACCGTAGATGCATGAACCACA